CGCAGCCCCGGCTCGGCCGCGCCTCCCGCTCCGCGCCCGGCGGCTCCGCGCCCCTGCCCGCGGGCGCCCTGCGGCAGCGTCGCCGCTTTTTTGTCAATGGGAGCGCTCCCGGGCGGCGCCCATTTAAGGCACCGGCGCTCGGCCAATGAGGCTGCGGAGGGTGGGCGGCCGCCCCTCGTCCTCGGCCCCCGGTTCCCCTGCCCCGCCCGGCCCCGCCGCAGACAATGGGAGGGTCCCGCGCCCCGCTCCGCGCCCCGCAACGTCCGCCCCTCGGCAGGTGCCCGGACGGGCCCGAGAGCATCCCCCGAGAGCGTCCTCCCACGGCATCCTCCCGACAGGCGTCCCCCGAGTGTATCCCCTCCAGAGCATCCTGCCGAGAGCATCCCCGAGAGCCTTGCCTCCCCAGCATCCCTCCCCAGCATCCCTCCCCAGCATCCCTCCCCAGCATCCCTCCCCAGCATCCCTCCTCAGCATTCCTCCTCAGCATCCCTCCCCAGCATCCCTCCTCAGCATCCCTCCCCAGCATCTCCCCCAGAGCATCTCCGCGAGTGCTCGGCTCTGCACAGCTGTGGGGTGGGTGTGGGACACGGGCCTCAGCTCCATCCTCTGGATCCAGGAGGTGGCTGTGCCAAGCAGCCAATTATCACGGCTGCAAGGAAAGGGAAGGTGACTTGAAGGGAACTGGATACTCTTTGCTCACTGCATCTCTCAGTATTCCTCAAATGCAAAATATGACCGGGGACTGACTCATGTGTGGCCACTGCAAACACCACACAGCCCACCCATGTACAGCACTGCAGGTCACAACACCTGACAAGCCTCACGACCTTGGGTTATCTTTTTTGTGCTTTTTTTTTCTTTATTCCAGTCAGTTCAGTCATCACTCTATGGATATTGACCCCATGATTCACTGTGAACACTTGGAATTACCCTAGATAGAGGGAAAATCGGATCTCAACACCCATCTGTGCTCCCACCTGGACGACTGGCTAGTTCTGGGGGCCTCAGCACAACAAGAATATTGACCTGTTGGAGTTGGTCCAGAGGAAGCCACAAAAATAATTGGATGGTTAGAGCCCTTCTGCTCTGGAGCCAGGCTGGGAGAGCTGGGAGTGCTCACCTGGAGAGTTGAAGGCTCCAGGGAGATCTTAGAGCCCCTTCCAGTGCCCAAAGGGCCTTCAGAAGAGATGGAGAGGGACTTGGGATAACAGCCCAGAGTGCCAGGACAGGGGGGAATGGCTTCCCACTGCCAGAGGGCAGGTTAAATGGGATATGGGGAAGGAATTCTTGGCTGGAGGGTGGGGAGGTCCTGGAAGAAGCTTCCAGGAGAAGCTGTGGCAGCCCCTGGGTCTCTGGAAGTCTAGGTTGGATGGGGCTTGGAGCATCCTGGGACAGTGGAAGGTGTCCTTGACCATGGCAGGGTTAGGAATGAGATGGGCTTTAGGATTCCTTCCAACCCAAACTTCTGTAATTCACCCCTAGGTAAGGTCAGAGACACTGGCATTGCCAAAGGCTGTGCCCTGCGACAGCTGTGACATTTCTGCTCTGTAAACTCACAAAAGGACTCTGGTCACCACTACTGCCAAGCTGCTTCCTCAAATATTAGGCTCATACAAACATACCATATGTTTTTGTAATTAAAATTTAAGTAAATGAAGAAAAATAATAAGAGAAGGTTTACCAGGTAATTATATCCTGAGATTTCTGAGGGAAAGGAAGCTGACTATCAAGCAACCGTAATGAGTTCTTTTACTTAATTAATTTTTGGTTAAGAATGATTGAAAAAAAAACCTTTTAAAATAAGAAACCAGATAGTTATTGTCAATGGAATTCCTGGTGTTTTATTTTTACAAATCACACTTCACTAATAATTCAGCCTCACGGATGCATTTGATCTTTAAGTGGTTTGTTTTTTGAAGTGTTCAAATATCAGGGATATTTCTAGGACTTGCAATTGTGGCATGAAACACAGATTTGTGTGCTATATAGAAATTTGAATTCCCAAACATTAATTAGTCCTGTATGGTGGGCTCTGCTCCTCTCTGCAGACGGAGATTTGGCACACAGAGAACAGTCTGCAGTTGCCAGGAGAAAAGCAGGGAAGGTGAAGAGCTCTGACACCTTCTCCCACTTATTACATAAATTGACCTAGAACTCTCTTCCCAGCAATGGAAATTCTCACTACCACATAGAAAAAGGGTAAGATTCAGGCTAATGAGAGGGCTAAATGTAGCTGGAGCATTTCACTCTGCAGGTGGACAGGAGAAAATGGGGAATATTCTAGAGCTGACCAAATACCAACCCCAAAACCCACAATTGAGAAAAATATGGGGAAAAAAGAAGACATTGGATTTCCCCATCTGCCAGGCCTTGTCAGAGGAGAGAGGGAATCCGCACACCCTCAGGTATAAGGGAGCATCCCACCCCTGCCTCAGAACACATGAGCACTGCTGAGCTGCACCCGTGTCCCCTGACCCCTTCCCAGGGCTCCACAGGTGAAACAGGACCTGTTCTCACAGCTGAGTTTTTGTCCAGTGCCAGAAGGTGCCCAGGGCTCTCCCTGTGTCCATTTGTCTGCTGAAAGCTTAGCAATAATTTGCATGTTACAAACCTGTGATGCACTACTAAGTGCTCCAAGTCTGTCTGATCTTTAATATTACTAAAATGGAAAGAAAAAATTTCTTCCCACATCTTCTGTTTGACCTTTTCCGTGCTGCCCTCTACCTGCTCCACATCCCCAGGTGGGTGAGCTGGGCAGCACAGCTGGGCAGATGGGCTGGGCAGAGCTGGGCAGAGCTGGGCAGATGGGCTGGGCAGAGCTGGGCAGGTGAGATGGGCAGAGCTGGGCAGGTGAGATGGGCAGAGCTG